TTGCGTGAATGTAAAAATAAAACAATTTAAAAATATTCTCCAATACCTGAATACTTGGGTTAAAAAATAGAACATTTTTCAAACGAAGATGCTTTATAAGGGCTGTTGGGTCCAGTATATCGAGTTCCCGTTTGATCCTGCGATTCTTGGTCAGTTACGAGATATATTATTTCGGGTAATATCATTTACATTTGCTAGAATACATTATTTTAATATGAATAAAATCGTGTTTTGCAAACGTTCGCGGAAATAAGATTTAAAAAATGAAGCAAACATTTCTGTAGCTAAAAATGTATCCCGAATTACTGGGGATCGTCTTCGGAAAGCGCCTTTCTTGTTCGCGAGCCTTTAAATTTGGAATGAAAATATTTCCAGTAAAGAATATGCAAGTTTTGCTTAGATTTTACTTAATTTTTTGCATCATTTTACTGTAAAAATGCTTTAAATTTTTTGATCTGCTTGTACGCTACAAGAAACATATTACTTGCTGCAACTCAAACGTATGGAAAATTCTTGGAAACGTTTTCTAAGCTGTGTTGAGTTGATAATGCAGGTAATGAAGATTGGTTCAATCTATGAAATTCGTCGAAGCTCGATGATTCAAAGCTGGCGGATTGAAGATTAAAAACACAGAGAATAAGGTACAAAACCAACTGTACCAGCTAAATTTCATTTTATACCAGACGCTTGCTTCACACGATATTTTCCAGTACGCATTCACTCGATTAAATTTTAAACCGATAGTTAATTGTGACATGTTATTTCGCACAAATTCTTTTTTTTTTACTGGAATTCTGGGGGAGAATCCTCTGCCAGCTGGTGAAGCTTTCGCGAATTTCCAGAGCGCGTCGTACATTTTTGACGAACCCCAGTTCTTGACAGGCATAATAATGTTCCGGCCGTCGGGGAAGCAATAATGTGATACGCTCCCGTTCCACAACATGTTGAATCGATTAAGAGGAATCAGGGCTTTCGAATGTACGCGAACAAGAGCAGCTTCGTGTGTCGAGAGGATCATCCTCACTTTATACAAACTAGCAGATCAAACCTGTGATAAAATCGTAATCCATATCCGCATGTCCAAAGCTGTATTGTGGATCAATCCCCCCTTCGGGCCACGCGCATCTGCCACTTCAAAAAAGAAGGGGGAATCCCGGAAATTCTGCGGGGCCAAATTCGAACATGAACGTAACTCTTCACTATTGTTCAGCATCAAGAAACAACTACTGTACTGTACAGTAGGGTAAGTTCTGGCTTGTAAGGTGGGATTCCGTCGCAGATTTGATCACAAAGTCTGTAACAAAAAAAATTGAAACCCCGTTTGAATTACACGATCGAATTTCCTGGTCATGCTTTCTTAATCTCACAAAGCGGGCCTCAATATCAATCCATATCCAATTGGTGAAGTACCAGGGATCTTCAGCAGTGTTGGGAAACCGCGCACGCCAAATTACGCTAAAAGTAAAATTATTAAAACACAAAAACCGCGAAATCAGATAAGAGTTCCAACCCTCAATATGGGAAGGAACTTACCAAGGATAACCACAATAGAAGAACAATTAAAACCAGAAACCAATTTCCGTTTTCCTCCCGAATTCCACCAAAGAACAAAATTCGAAACCACATTATCATCCAACTTTTGGCATGTTCAAGTGTGCAATATTATTTTGAATTCAAGGAAGAGTTCTGTTGAGTTGTTGTGTGTACAAAATTTTGTCTTTGTGTGTTAAAACATTTGGGACAATTTCGAAATATATTTAGAAACAATTTTAAATAGGAAATACACCAGGATTCCCAGCCTAGTCCCAGGCTGATTCTGTCTTTCATTTATTAATTTGAAATTTACTTTATTCATCAACTTTTCCATCTACAAGCAAATCACATTAAATTTATGTTAAGGTAAGTTATTCCCTAACATAAAAAGCAGAAGCATGACATTATGCAGGCCCAACACTTCAATGCATGATTTTTATATCCATTATAATTTTTTATGAATTAAAATTATATCGATGTTAAAATGTCCTGCTCGTATTTGAGTTCCCCTAAATAACATGATCGTATCAAGGTTCTCTTCACAATGGTGAACCCATTTTGTGAGTTGATGTGATAAAATGGAATCAAAGAATTGGGCATATAAATAAACTACAGTACTATAAATATAAATAAAGTACATTACAGTAATCATGAGTAGGCAAGAAACAAAATTTAGCAAATACATGCTATTGTGTAAGTGTGCAAAACATTGATTATTGTATAAATTTCGGATCAGACGACGAAATCAGATCGATCAACGAATGATTTGCAGTCAAATAAATTTTGAAGCGCTTGGAGATGCAATACGTACAGGTAGACTCTCTCTACAATGATATTCTCTGTTTAACCTCTTGTATAGAAGTTATCAAGAATTATCTCTACAACGAATTTGTTTCTGGTCCCCCCGAATTTCATTGCAGAGGGAGTTCATCTGCATTTTGAATTCGTCGAATCACAAGTTGAACATTCTGAATTCAACTGTTGCGCGTCTGCGTCCAGTATTTTAGGTCGTGTGATTGATTTGGAAACCGAAGATATAGTAAAAATTTGTGCACAATTCTCGCAACATTAAACGTTTATCAGGGGTATCTATTTTTTTGTGAAAAATTTAAAAAGCATATCTGGATGATTCGGAAAGGAATGACGATTCTGCTACAGGGGGTTTCTATTTTTGTTGGCGATTTTTAACAAACAGGTCTGGATTATTCGGAAAGGAATGACGATTCTGTTATTAGGCCGGACTTGGGCAATTATCCGCCGGGTGTTTCTCACGCAGACGTGAGCAGGTGATTAACCCGGGGGCATTATGGCCGTGAATGATTGTTCCCAGCCATTGGGAGTCGCAATGGCTGTGGTCGGAAAGAGTTGAAAGCTGCGAGCCGGAGTGGCGGCGAAGCGGGCGGGGCGACCAATCGCCGCCACTCGGGGCCTCGGTTTCCGGCCCAGGGCGGCGACGGCGTCTCTCTCTGGGACCATTCCTCTGCTGATCGCACTCTCGGAAACCCACTCGGCATTATTTACAGTGTTATTTTCTCGTATTTAGAACTGCTTACAGCAATTTGGAATACGTCTCTGATGTTTCGCGAACAGCATGCCAGCATTTTTCTTCACTTCAAGAATATCCAAAGAAAAAAATATTTCTTCATGGAAACTGAGTTTGTTTACAACTCTCACATTGAAATGCCGAACACTCGAACAAGTTTAGGGACGTCTCCTCAGGCAAATCGATTCTGATTGCGGAGTTGGACATTTTTTTCTGACAAATTTTCAACGAAAGTTTCACTTCAGTCACTGGACAGAGGAGAATCGCAAAATGAAAATACTTCTCGCCCATTTTGGGCTTTCTTTTGCGAATTGTAAAAATCCCTGAACTTCATTCATTTGGACTAGTGTTCATCTTCCAAGTTTTATCGCAATGGAAATTTAATTCATCTCGCGAGAGAGCTCGGAGTAGATAAATATATTCCACATCTATATCCAATAACGCTATTGTACGACGAAGGACGCGTAAAAATTTCCAATGGCGATTTTACGAATTTTATTCACAGGAATCTTGGTCAAATTGCAAAATTGGTACAACAGCAGGAAAAATGAACAGAGCGCCCTTTCAGGCCTCCCTTTTTTTGTGTGTGCATTATCATTCCAAACATATTCTATGAAAAATTATTGGATGAAGTTCGCGGAGTTGACCCCGCTGATCATCGTTGAATAAAACGGAACACACGTTAGGTCGTTAAAATCCGCATAAACTTTTCAAACTGATACGGCACGATGAGTGAACAGGGGGATCAAACCTGCCAAGCGCATCACAAGGGAATCCACCATGCCCCCCCCCTCCCCCTTTAAAATTTTATTTTTTGCGCGCGGATGAAACTGAAACCCCCGCGCATCTGTTTAGGGGAGGACTGGTAGGAATCGGCCGCGAACGTCGCGAATCGACCCATTCCAGGCACAGGCCTCATCGAGTCAACATTCCTTCGATGCAAGCCCGGCATGTGACGCTGCATTTTTCTGCGTGCAGATATTAGCGGCGGATTTGCCACATGATTAAAAAAAAACGGGAGTTGTGCTTCTACCTGTACACAATGAATTTTGTTTCAAAAGTGACGTGATCTTTCGATGTATTCCTTGTTGAAGCGCTTTCAAAAATCCGAATAATTATTTTTAGAGGCTGTCCGAAACTGTTAAGGGCAGTTGGAATGGTGCTGTAAATATTATGATTTATTCAGTTTCTCTTGAAAATTTACAGAAATATCCTTCAGAAGCAGGAATACAAAATAAAGCACTTTTACTTTTGCCCAGAGATATTATTGTTTTTATTATATTTTTAACATAGAAAACAGCTCACGTTCTCGTTAGTGGTAAAAAAAACCATCTTTGATTACCAATCGAGTGCGGGGCCAAAAAAAAAGTTGTTCGGCAGTGTACATCTGTAAAAAATGTCAGGTTTTGTGCAGTGAATATTTCGGGAAAATCTTGCTTTTTTTCTTAAAAATGCCGGAAATTTCTTGCGTGAGTCTGAACGATTTCTGCATTAGCATTGAAGATTTTAAAGCGCAATCGAGAGGGTTGAAGGCGGCGTCTATTTTATACCAGATACACGGTAAATTAATTTTTGATACGTTATAAAATTAACTTCAACGTTGTGCGTTGTTCAATTGCTTTTCGGTGACTGTAAAATCGAAGATTATATTGACCACGCGCCTATAAACTTGCATAAGAATTTGACTGGAAAATTCTATCTTTACCTTGCGATGCGGGTCTAATCGAAATGTTTTGAATGTATTTTCTCAGTGAAAACCTCGTGGGCACGTCGAAAGAGTGTGAGATTTTGAAAGTGTCAAACTTGTAATCGCCGGAACGTTGTTACACAAGTGGTCGCGTGAATCGGAACGCGAAATTCATTTTTCGACGCGACGAGTGCTCATACTTTTTGCGGAGAATTTCGGAGCAGCAAGAAGAAAATTATGACTTCAAGTGTAGGCAAACTTGCGGTTGTCATGCTGCTCATAGCCGCATTCTTCAACGCTGATACAGACGCTCAATGGTACGTTTCGAGAATGCATTGACAAGTATAACAGAATATTGGCACAGCAAAATATGCTCTTGTCGCATTCCTCCCGCGGAGTTTCGTATTTGATAGTACTGTACCGTGAATCTCCAGCACAGCATGATTCAAAATCCGCAGAAAAAATAAACTGTACAAATAGCTGGGAATTACTCTGAAAATAATCGAGCACTTCTGCAAAGAAATTCAGCATTGATCTCAGAATTTTTGTGATATAGGACCTGAAGTTCAAACGCGAATAATTTTATAGCAGTCAAGTACTGTACTGCATCTCGGCGAGGAAATTCGTGGGACAGAATGAGGCAATTTTCAAAGACTGAAATATATTTATGCGTTCAATAAAAAAAAAGAAAAACTTTGCCCCACGACACCGAATTACTGTATCTCAAACTTTCTGGATTTCCGGATTCTTGAACACTTTCGTAGCAAACGCTTTTTCAGAAACTTTTTTTTAATATGTGAAAGAAAGTACAGTACGGTGTTTTCAAAGTCTTTCGCAGCCAGCAATCCTGCTCAATTAGAGGCAATTTTCCAGGTTTTAGAAGGAATCACTGCGAATTTATCGCAGACGTCTTTCGCCTTGCCAATCCGTCCGAGTAGTCATTTGCCTTGAGCATCAGATAGTCAAAGGGTAGAGGGGAAAAAAAAAAAAACCAACGACACTGCGAACACAGAACAAATCTGCAGACTTTCGTATCTCAACACATAATCGACTGTTACAGTAGCTTCTTGCTGTTATCTTGAGAAGGCTGTCCAACTCCATGTTATTGAGTCTTGAATCGGAAATCCTCATCCACGTTAGCAGTTCAGTAAGGGTGCTTCCAATACCAACAAAAGAACAGTTTTCATTCTTGAACCACGTACGCAGAAACGCTGAATTTTAGTCCAGCGGATTGAATTTTCATTTTTCGGTTGGAAATTAGACCGAATATGCATTTATGCGTGCAACCGTGTGCTCATAATTTATGACGTTTATCAGAACTCTGACTCGTAAAAACGACGGAATCACCGAGGAATTCTTTTCCCTATTTTTTTTCCAAGAAAAGCTTTTAAATTACACCGCCATGAGATTATGACGAGTCATTTCATTTTTAGAATATACTGGACATTCCCAGACGATTGTCTTCTTATTAATAGGAAAACTTCCACATTTCCCCAAAAATATGCCAGATCGAAAATAAGTCCGATGTCCGGCCCCTAGTTCAGAATCAGTTAATTATTATTAATTATTAAATTACAGGATATTAAAACCAGTCTCAGGCTTACACTAAAACAATTCAGGGATATGCAAGCAAGCTTGCGGACGCATTTTCTTAACTCATCATGTCAGTTAATTTTCTTCCAACAGTAATTGCGCCAAAAAAGCGTAATATTGAAGCTGTACTCCATTAATTAAACGCTATTTTAAATGACCTTTAGTGAGCACACTCCAATGAAGGAAAACTAATAAGCCCACGGCGCACTTTGTTTCAACGTTCATTCAAATCAGAATTAAGTTGTAAGAGTTCACTTTCTTTCTAAAATTCCAAAATCAGACTTCGAAAATTTTGGGTCAAACCTTTTAATGGAAGATGGCATGCAGAAATTTTACACTGCCCTTTCTTAAAAGGTAGAAGACTAAAATAAGTACTAAAAGTTTGAAAAAACCCTAAACTTTGAGTTTTGGTGGCCCCTGTAGGATACTAATCTTATAGTGTAGTAGCTTATACTTAATTGAGACAATAAAAAATAGAGAGAGAGAGAGATATCAGTACTGTATTTACTCAAGTACCAAGTGTCAGCAAAAATACACCACCCGATTTTTCAGTAAAAAATGTTGATAAACTTGCATACTCAAGTGAGACATGCGCCCCAATAATGTAATCAATGTGAAGCTGCAATATTTCAAAAATAAGGACACCCGAAATTTTAATTAAGCCGCGAGTTCAACCTGAATTCAACAAAGTTTCAATCATTTCCATTGGAATACATTTCTCTTGTTCTAATTGACCCAGAATTTCTAAATAACATAAAATACACCTGAGCTTGAATTTTCTGAAAAATATATGCAGTACCTGCCTATGATACGCACCTCCTTTTTTCCTCTCAATTCTATAAAAAAAATTTGTGGATGATGCTAAAGTAAATATGGCACGCAGAATAACTTCATAGATCTGGAACTGCTTTTGGCTCATTATGTAATTAATTATATACAAAAAACAACAATCTCGTCTACAAAAATTTTCTCTGTGTAACATATTTTCGTTCGGTCCCATTGGATTCTCTCTCTCTACGTTTATAGAGATTCTCTGCAATAAAACTTCTGCAATAAAAAAGAATTGTCTGGTCCCTAGCATTTGTAGAGAGAAAAAGAGAGAGTGTGTGTGTGTGTGTGTGTGTGTGTGTGTGTGTGTGTGTGTGTGTGTGTGTGTGTGTGTGTGCACTTTACTTAACTCGAGGTTCATCAGATTTTGTTGGAAAAACGTAACAAAAATGACACGTTGAAGAAATGTAAAAAAAAATATTTTAGCGTGACATGCGCAAAAAAAAAAAATCGAGAATTTTCCAACTGTCTTCGCCCAAACGACTGCAGTGCAGGGAAGTCGGAATTCGCCTCCGCGGTTCTAGTGCGTGATTCATCAGGTCAACCTCGCTGCTGCACGCCGGCGTGAGAAAGAAGCTGTGGGAAGACGCGCGCGGGGGATTCTTGACGATCCGCTGCTCGTCTACCCCAGATTACCCCGCGATAAAGCCGGTACTGACGTCCGGGGGTCGAACGATCCCTTGTTCCCACGTGCGCAATCTCAAGCCGATCGCCGATCGGACCGTCCCGACCAATTTCTCCGCGGCGAGTCTTTTGAGGGGCATTCTTGCCTATCCCGAGAGTCGGGCTGCGACGAAATACGCGAGATGTTTCGACGTCCCGGGGTCCTCATCGAGACAACTTTGTGCTATACTTTTTCGTCTTTGAGAACTCAAACACAAAAGTGCAATTATGTCTATGGGATCCGTGATTTTTTAAAAGACTAAAATTCCAATGACCCCGTAAAATGCAATGTGATAGGTCCCCGAAACGAGAAAAATTTGTGCCTGTGATTCGCAACCCGACGATATGCGAACCCTTGATTTTGTTTGCAGTATTTGTCATAAATTTTCGTCTCATTCAATCAAAAATGTAATGAGAATTAATGGTTTCTCTCATTTTAACAGGTACTAACTGAAATTGAAAAATCCCACGTGGAACTCATTAATCCATGGTGTTTCAAATATTCCTCGCGAATCACTCGCTTTTGAAGCTATGTTCTGTCGAAATGTAGAGCACAGATGATATTTTTAAAAATCCATGGAACTTACTGAAATTTGCACAGTTTGAGAGCTCATGGAGAAAACGATTTGAAACAAAATTCAGGCCACGCGATGTTGAATCCTTTCACGTACGTTCGTCGTCGTTTCCTGTGCTGAATTGAAGCCCATCAAATATCACCAGGATTAAATAATTCTGGCTCTTATCGCGATGGAATGTGATGTACTAAGAAATTTTTAAATCCTAAAATGCCACCACCAAACGATCTATTATTTTATTCCTTTCGAAGTAAAATGTCCCAAAACTAAAATCTATGAAAAATTTCGCAATCCAGTTTCCGCCGATTTTCCAACGACTAAAGCACAATCTATCAAGAGGTATCAATATATTGGCACATTACTTCATGGCTAAAAAGTCAGCGAATGAATAAAGGAAAAAGCATATGTAGAGGTGTAGACTGAAGAAAAATGCTCTGAAAAAATGCGGGAACCCTAGAAAATAGACTCATAACTTTGAAAAGCACTTCGAAAAGTCTTATAGAAACTGTAAATTTGGGGTCTAAAAATAACTTGTCATAAAACCGCCGGAGTTTTCCCTTGAGACTGTCACCAACTTCGCTGATGTTCTGTTCTCTTCTCAAAGTAAAGGGGTTTGTTTGAATAACGGCAGTTCGTCCGACCACAAATCGTTGCTTTTGTTCCGCAATGACATTTTGAAATGTCAGAAAGATCGTCAATGCAATGAACACCCGTTACAATAACTGGCCGATCGCTTTGCAGTTTAAATTCCACTGCTGGTTCAAACAGAAAAACGCAGCTTCTCTCCCGTCGAGTATTTCCCCGCGGAGAGGCAATAAAAGTTTGTCCACTATTGAAAAAGGCTCCAAACGACAGTTTCGCATGAAAGGGGTTCNCTAGAAAATAGACTCATAACTTTGAAAAGCACTTCGAAAAGTCTTATAGAAACTGTAAATTTGGGGTCTAAAAATAACTTGTCATAAAACCGCCGGAGTTTTCCCTTGAGACTGTCACCAACTTCGCTGATGTTCTGTTCTCTTCTCAAAGTAAAGGGGTTTGTTTGAATAACGGCAGTTCGTCCGACCACAAATCGTTGCTTTTGTTCCGCAATGACATTTTGAAATGTCAGAAAGATCGTCAATTCAATGAACACCCGTTACAATAACTGGCCGATCGCTTTGCAGTTTAAATTCCACTGCTGGTTCAAACAGAAAAACGCAGCTTCTCTCCCGTCGAGTATTTCCCCGCGGAGAGGCAATAAAAGTTTGTCCACTATTGAAAAAGGCTCCAAACGACAGTTTCGCATGAAAGGGGTTCTTAAGAGCTTCCGAAAGCCATCTGCCACAGACCCTCGGGCCCAGGAAAACAAGCAATAAGTCAAAAGGGGTGTGAAACAACTCACCGGAATGGGTCAAATTTATTGCCGATTTCCGAACGGTCCCACAAAAAAGGTAACCTTGAAAGCTCCAATAAAATTCTGCCGAAGACGAGAATGATGGGCGCCCGGAAATTTCACACCTGTGCAAGAAAAATAAGCGACTGTATATAGAGGAAATTGCCACAACGTCAGCCATTTTTATTCTATTGAATCTGGATCCTCTTGCTCTTGTTTTCCAGGTTCGACAAGCGGTTGGACAACATGATCATCGGCGCTCGAGCAGGGGTAAGTGCTGTCTTTTACTCACAAGTCTTGATACACTGTAAACTATCCCTTCTTTCCATCCGAAAAACTCCGAGACACTCGGCGCTCGAATCCGAAACCCGGCGAAAAACAAGCAGTGCCCCTCTCATCAAGCATCCCAGCAACAAGTGATGGGGTAAAGGCGTGAACCCAATTGTTTCTGCCAACGAGCGAGACCCAGGGAAAAGGAAACACGCATAAATTTCACCTACCACAGAGGTTCCATAACGTCTCATTTGCTCCAAGCGGAACATTCGCCGTTCCCATGTCGAGGACGGCTAAGGTTTTGTTTAAATTTCCGCGGAACAAATTTTTTGCTCGCCGGTTCCCTATGGCACTAATACGCGGATCCGCTATACGTATCTTGAAACGGGTATCGGATTCAACGTTCATGACGCCAAGATTATTTTATTCACTCATTCAATAAAATGATGTTTATTGATCCTTTGCACGATGTGATGCCCGAAGCTAGAAAGAAGGAAGAAAGTGCGCGGGTTAGCGATGCACGTACATTTTGCCGCCAGGAAAAATGCCGCGGCGAAAAAAAAACCTCCCTGCATGAGTGACTTCAACGATGGAATTTCCGGCGAATTCAAAAAAATGGGAATGTATTCCTGTCGTTTTGAATGAAAGATTTTCCAGTGGTCCAAGAATTCCGAATTTTCACGCTCATGTGACCAAAGGCCTTAATTTTTGATGATCAAACTTTGACCTCATAAATAGACAATTGGATGTGATGCAACAAGCATGACATGATTCTGAAAGGAATGCACTGTACTGTGATGGAATGGAGCTTGTATTTATTTTCTTCTGAGTCATTATACAAGGGTTGCCCCAGCTTGGGCGTGTTCACTGGTAATTTTAGGTTAGGTGTGATCGTAAAAAAAAAAAAAAATGCCCATGATGTTCTAAGGTTCGGGATATTTTTCGAAGTTAAAAGATTTAATTTACTGCGTTATGATGAATGAAGATGTTCCCGTTATAGCCATAATTCTCCACCCACATCGGAGGCGGCTCAAATTTGTCAGGCCAGCTAACAAAAATGATATTTTTGGTTGTTCAACGATTATCTAAAATTTATAGAAGCTAATGGGTGAAAATCGTTAACTTTCTTAGCTTGAAATACTTTTCTTAACTTTTTAAGCTGCCATGACACCTTCTTTAGCACCCTGTGACTTTGGTGGAGAACTCGAGTTGTGGCTGGAAAATTTTTACTTATCATCATGCAGTAAATTGAAGCACTGGTTTAAAAATAAATAAATAAATCACTGAATGTTGGATCATCATGGGTTATGTGTCGTAATTATTATTATTTTTTTTACAATCACACCTACTCTAAAAATATCTGAGGTCGCGTCTAACTGGGACAACCCGGGTAATTCTCCCAAGTAATGGCTTCCCCTGTGGCATTTTCTCGTGACGTGGAATGGACATGTGAGACGAAATGAAGGAAAATTCGTTTACTCGGAAAACACATTCAATAGGGCTAGGGAAACACGATAAGAACTCGCGAAATTCTTCCAGTAGCAGATCAGGAGAAGAGCCTTTGTGCGAAGTCTGACGTGTTTCACAAGTGTAAGCACTGGAAACCTGGATACATACATGCCGTAGTCTCGCTCATAAGAAAAACCTCTCACCTCGGGGAAGTCGGGCGTTAATGAAAAGGTTTCCCTTTTCATAAACCACCCCCACGGGGGGAAAAGGAAATGGGCGGGCGAGGCGTTAGATTCCGTGCGTTTTGCGTCAGGATCGGACACGGATTGCGGGGCAGGGAAGTTAACACCTCAAGTCGGCGGGGTTTTGAATTGACGGGAAGTGCGCGCGGCGTTCTTTTTTTTTTTTCTTCTTCTTTTTTGTTGCGCCGCCCCGGCCGCCGCGATGAGTTGTTGGCGGTGATGAATGGGCCTGGTCTGGGTGGGCCAGGTAGCCACGCGAGGACCCGCCAATTAACGCGCCGCGGGGACCGAGGACTATTCCATGCCATATACCTTTTTTTTTCGGCGTATCGACACCCGTCGCAACCATGTGCTCTTGCATCCTCGCCTCGGGTCGTGCCAAACTTCTTTCTCAAATTTTCCCCATCATTTCCTTGCATCTCAGGCCCCTCAACTGATGTCAGTGCCCCGGATAATGGACTTTTCGCACGATGAGCTCAGAATGCCGCAAACTTTTGCTATAATTGTGGATAGGGAGACCTTTTTCGGATAATTGACTGCATGTAACAGTGGTGGGTCATACTAAGCATATGCGAGCTTTTTGATAACCCTACTTGATTGTATATTTCTTATTTCTCAGCCTTTTTTTTGTTGCTGTAGATATAGCATTTTTCAAATTCGATGTTTAAAATGTGAACAGATGTATTTCGCCAGTTTTGAAGAGACCAGGAATGATTCGGGCATTCTGAATAGCTTTGCAAAATGCAGTTAATATAACCTTTTGGGTGCTGAAACCTGTTACCCATTTGATTTCCATTTCTTCTCCTCTGTTGGTGGTCTTTTCGGGATGATGAAAATTATTTATAAAAGTTTCTGTTGCGTCTATTGACATATTTACGTGAAGGGATCTGTAATAAAAATCGAAATTTAAGATCCACAGGAAATATTTGAAAATGTACGAGGGTTTCATCATGAAATTTAATTTTTTTAATGCATCGCATGTGAAAAAATCTTGGTCGACTCTCGTCTTTCCAACAAGACGTGTTACTTCTGGCGAATAACTTTACCTTAGGGATTTATGTAGTTGTTCATTAGTTTCTAAGGTGTCTCAGCCGAAATTCCTTCATGTCAACAACATTTCTGTGGACAACTGGACAATACTGTATTAGTTGGTCGCACATTTATAAGCTTCAACCATTTTAACAACTCGAGACCGGACAAAAAAAAACTACGAGCTGCAAGAAGCTGACATTTAATATAGATATCTGAATTGGTCGTGACTAAATTACTGCAAAAATTACCGACAGGTCAAAGTGCCAAGTTCGGAGTTTACTCACCTCTTCGCTACTTCGTGCGATACGGACGCAAATTCCTCGAAATTGCCAAAAAGAAGTAATACTTGAAATATTGCAAGCAAAAATCGAGGAACGTAAGACGTAATGAGGTGTTCAGTTCGCTTGTTCGACGACATCAGAAACGCGGTTGGCGGCCGGTGGGTTTTAGCAACAGCAACAACAAGAAAAAAGCAGCAAAAGAAAAAAAAAAGGAAATCGGCGCGGCGAGTGGCTTCCTCGCACAAAGCGCTTTGTTGCGGGGCATTGTGCACGCCATTATGGCTTCATCGGTGCTCGAACAACTGGCCCGGGTCCGCGAGAAAGCACATTTAAGGAATTTAAGGCGGCCGGGAATTTTTTCGGGACCCCCGGCCTGTGCTCAAAAGGTGCATCTTCGCGTCAACAATCCATCCCGGCGGTTTTTTTTTTTTTTTTCGTGCGTGTGTCGCAAACCCCGTGATCCATTATTCTCCTGGCTTTCTTCCTGCTGGCCCACACACACGCACACCTACAAACATGAGGGTGTACAAGGGTTTCTAATCACCTGCTCATCCTGTCAGCCCCCTCTGAAGGGAACCTTGGGCGTTGACAATCCTCTTCTCGAGTACAAATACCACCTCTGATTCACACATCATTTGAATAATGTTGACAAAACACTTTGCGCGAAATTTCATCCCCACTACCCTGATTGTAAGACTTTTGGGAATCGAATGGATTAAATACAAACGCTTTTGTGCACCGAAAAACAATTATTTAGACATGCAATTACTTTGGCAATCTTATTTTTCTTATCTTATTTTTAATCATGCAAAAAGCGTCAGGGTTTCCAGGAATATTTTGAACGCTTTATTGGTAACATAATTCTGTACTTTGACCGAAATCATTTAGTTGCGCAGAATCAATATAAGGACTTGGAAATGTTTTTACAAATTGAGCAGGTTTTTCCGTATGACTCCAAGAAACTTCTTCTGTGCAAATTTAAATTTTAGCTGACATTCTGAAAAGAGCTCCCGTAACAGAAGAAATTGCAAGATCAGAAAATGTTTTGCTAACATAATGTGTAGTTTCTAGATCAAGAGCATGGTCGCTAAGAATTTTGGACAGCATTTAGAAATTTTTGCCAAATATTACTCAACAATAATTAAATTTTTCCAACAGAAGTATCACAGGAGTTGCAAAAACCAGTAAACATACCCACGGGTAACGAGGCTATCCTGAATTTTAAAATAAAAAGCATTTAAATGTATGAAAGTTGCTTGACTCTCGCCAGACTTTCCAAATAAGAAGCATTGAATCATCGCGAGATTTTTCAGCAAATAAAACTTCATCGACTCATTTTTAGGTTCTGCAGTACTAGACTCCAGGTCGCCCAAAAAATGTGGCCCACCTGATCCTGAAAACCCCTCCAATCGGATTATAATTTGCAATCTCACCTCGAGCATTCTTTGATTGTTCTCTGGAAGGAAACAAACGAGATCATCGCAATCTAAAACAAGAGAAAAATGTCATACCTTTACTGTATATACAGCATATTTTTCCCAGTACAGTAATCCATATTGCGTAAAGATTTAAAAGAATTCGCTCTATCTGGAATCGCCGAATGAATTTCTAGTGGGGCGGAATATCAGCTCAGAGAAGCATTTCCCGAATCTTCTGAGTATTTTCATTCTTTTCTCGTTACAATTGATCATATTTGTGCAGAGAAAGAGTATCGGTGTATTTTTAAATGGTAAATGGAATCATGCGGACCTCCGGGAAGAGTCCTCAATTCCTAGCGGTATGCCAGTCATTCTCACTCGTGCCAATAAATCCCATTCACCCAATTCAAATTCGCAATGAAAACAAACTGCACAACAACGAGAAAATGGAATAGTTCCGTCAAACCGCGGAATCCCGGTGATTCTGGAATACAACCCAGAGGAAGTTCCGTTGTCGAGCAAATCTCTGGCCGGGCCACACTGGGCCGTGTCCCCGGGCGTCGTTTAATGCATGCTTTGTCGCGAATAAAGGCAGCCGGTTATTCCCGACGAATCGTTCTCAACAAGAAATGAAATTGAAACCCAGAAAAAAAAAAGGTCTGAGATACCGCTTTTCACACCGGGTCTGCGGAATGCATGTTTCCTGTGCAGCAGATCACCGATGCGCAAACGATTTGTCCACAGCTTCTTCTTCCCAGCCGGCAAGACCACCGAGCTGCGAAATGTGCGCGTCTCGATTTGCAAAAATGGAGAAGCAAAAAAAAAAAAAAACCCACCTGCGCGGAGAAGGGTAGGAAAACAGGGGAAACCCCCCACTTTGTGCAGAAAAAATGGCATGCGTAGATCAAGTCGTGCCCGGACGGCGATGAAAGCAGGACCATTGTGTCCGGGCCCTTCGTGCTCATTGAGAATGCCTGATATTGCACGCATGATTGCCAAAAGGGGTCCCTTTTCAGCGAAATAAAAAATAACAAAATCTCGTGGGAGGAAATGGCACCGGAAACCTCTTCCGAGTCTCGAGGAAGTTGAAATCCGAAATTTGTGACCATCACTGGCAGACTAGGTCCATCAAGGAAAGCACGGTTCTTCCACTTGACGCGATTTTTGGATTCCCGCAGAGAACCTCGTATTTTCTTTATCCTAATTTTCACCATGATTACATTCTCAAAGACATTGACAGGCTCTCGGCGACTCGCCGTCTACCGTTACTAACTTGATGAGGAATTAGACCTGTTGTGAGGCAATCAAGCATGAAATTTGAGACCACCCCGGTGGTCGCCAACTTTCAGGGAAAATCCTAGCGGGTTTCCTTCAACAATAGCTTCTTCGTTCTTCAGCAGCCTTGAGGCTTGGCATAAACCCGCAGCAATAAAAGCTTTCTGCTCAAGGGATGCAAAATGTATCAGATAAACTTCGTGAAGAATCGCTACTAACAAGTGGGATAACGTTGAAAAGTCTTTGACAAAAAGCTGCCCTTTCAACAGTGGAATGCGATGGAATGGTAACTGAGCAGAATATTTTGACTCGAAAAAAAAACGACCAACATTATTTTTTTCAGGAAATATATTTTAGAATTCTTCAGTGACGAGCTTTATTAGAATTCGATGTTCAGAAACAATTTAATTGAGCTGCGATTGCTTTTTGTGTCACATAAACTTCACTTGAAACATGTTCAACGTTAAAGACAATAGTAAACACGGGTCTATTCCAACTAAAACACTGAACAGTACATTTTTAAGGCTTGATTTACATCCTATTATTCGCAAGCAGAATCGATCAATTTGTTTTTCGTCAGTCGTTTGTTGAACGGTTTTGTCCAATCATTTTTGCTAGCTTCAATAAGCGGCATTTTCACAGAGAGTCTCGTCAAACTTACAAAGAGTTTTCCAGCCCCCATTTCTTCCAACATATAGCTCGACCTCTCTGGCGTGGTTAATGGGAACCCCATTATAGTCAAATTCTTTTATACCCGCAGAAAGCAGAACCACAACTTCGTGGGCAAATGGGCACTAAATTCGATCAGCTACAAGCAAGGGTTCACAAACGCCGCGCAAGGATAATAACGGGTTCATTTATTATCTTTATTGTTTGCGCACGCGGGTCACGCTGAAGATAATCGCGCAACTGCTGGAGATTCTCGAAGTGGAGAATTCGAAAATTCAGCATCGTTTCGAATTTCTTTCAGATATAAAAAAAATGTGTACTCCTCGATGCAGTTCATTCTTTTCGTACATTTTGTTGCTACATTTTTCAAGAACAGCTCGGCAGAATCCTAGATGCAGAAATTTTTGCGAATGACGCATTGGTTATTTTTAAAATTCGGCAAGAGATAATACTTTGTTGCTGGGCATGTCTCAGTAATGAGGTCTGAAAAACGAATAACTTTTTAAATACAGCGATTTAAAAGAAATTCGTGTTTCCTAACTGATGGAACGCGTGAAATTGGAAGGCATCCTGAAATGTCAGCGAGAACACGTTTTCAGAAGTTTAAATTAGTTTCAATTTTATATTTCAGACCAAATGTAGACCTGTATAAATTTTCAGATCAGTCCCGCATTTTCAAATGGTCTTACCCAAAAACAAGAGCATAGAAAATCATGCAAGAAGCATCGATACGACGCAAATCGAGAACATTCCCGTAGAAAAAAATCATTGCAAAAAAGTCAACTCGCCATCAAAATTCTCAAGATGTAAAGGCGGGGCCTGTTCTCGAAGCACAAACACAAAACAGCAGACATTCGCAAGAGTGCGGTAACCAATTTATTATTTTTTTTTTCAAATACCTGTTCCGTCTTTTCAGACTTTGCCGAAATTCCAGAGTCCGCGTTGGGCGGGTTTCGGAGGAAAATTGGCACACCTGGCACGCGCTCGCAGAGGGGTCGTTGGTGGGCCATGTGCGAGGACGTCATTGACGACGGGGTAATTTGCCCGTCGCGGATCGGCAATAATGACGCGTCAGTTATTGTCTCCGACCACACGCAAGGTGCAAATTCCCGCGCGCCGCAAAATAGAAGGGGTGTTGACTCCTACGCCATTTTTGGGGGTCTCTCCACCGCAAAAAAAAAAAAAAAAATTGAAGTGTTCATTTTTGTATACGTTTCAGGGGGACATTCTCTGTAGGGAACACAAAAATGCCGCCGGTCAATCGTATCGCGTGAAATAAAAACTGCATAACTGAGGCTCAAAACACGCCGCCAAATATTTAACAAGAAACAATGGCGACATATCCATCATTCAAGCAGCATTTTTTTGTGATAGGGGGGCATTCTGTGAATGCATTTTTAACCGGAATCCATTCCTGGTCTCAGAGGGTTGTAGGAAATACCACAATTACTGCATCGAATATATTGAAGGAAAAGAATTCAAATCGCGCAAGTGCACAGGAACTTTTTAAAATCAAGGAAGCTACAATTGAGAAAATCCTGGCGCGAAGAAATTTTACGCAGAAAAAATAAATTTCGCAGCAGGAATAATGCGACCCAGCAGAATTGAAGTGAAAGACCGAAATGGCTTTGAAAACTAGAAATATTGATGCAATACGGGTTTGGATAAATTTAGAAGCCCTTCCAGCCTAAGCTTGGGTGTCTTTCACGTGTCCGCAGTTTTCTTGCTTACCTCGTGTTTACCTCAAATTAGGTAATGTTTTCTAGCGCAGTGCGGAAAATTGGGATTTTAAGGGTACCACGGACTTTTCTCCTCCGAAGCATTGTCCCTCTCTGCCTCTCATCGGCGCTTCCTCCTGACCCCATATTACAAGTGGAACAAACCCACAAGGAAAAATAAAAAGAGACCTTCCTGAGCAGTGGATTCGTTTTTGATGTACAGTACAGTACAGTACTTTACTGTACCCCGGAACAGAGCATAGGTGGCAGGAGCTGCAGCAGCAGCAGCAGCAGCAACAGCAACCATCATCAGCAGGACCCCGTGCTTAATGGACCGTGGCCAGCATTCCGCGCGTCGGGGGGAAAGATCTCCATCACGCAGTGGGGGATTAGATCCGCGCCGCTAACTTTATTTGCCGGCACTATTTGGGCACCGCGTCGCAAATTCCCCCCCCCGCCCTCTTCTGGCGCAAAAACGCGGCGGCGATTTGGCACGCCGGTTTCTTTTGCACTGCTCGAGGGCCCCGGCTCTCCGCGTGCTTTTAATTACCTCGGTCCCCCAGCAGCAGCACCGACCTCTCGGCCCGAGACCGTCGTAAAATTGCTCGCCAGCAGTTGCGCCATTCCTCGCCTGACTGATGCGCGAATTTTGATCGGCGGTCTTCCGTCCGGGGCCGATTTCCCCCTTTGAAGTTTCGGGGCAGTTGAGCCTCTTTGAGTCGAACTTGAAGGCACCAGCAAACAAATTCGAGTTGGGGAGGTTTTGAATTAGGAAAAAATAAGCGTTTGTGTTGTGTGTGGGGGGTGGGGAAGAAATAAGAAAAATAACAGGAAATTGTAATTGGTTATTTTCTAGGCATTAAATTGCTTCCTAAATAAGTAGACAGAGGATGATGAACTTCGAGGCATGGGTATTTGTGCCCCGTTAGTCTTTCACTTCTTTTAAGGCCACCAAAGTTACATTTTTAGTGCTTTTCTCTTTCCTGGGTCAAGGAAATAAGAGCTGGGCCTTAAATTGCGTCTTAAATTAGTTGAAAAGGATTCCGAGCTTGTAGGCAAGAGTTTATTTGCCCAATCAGTCTTTCACTTCAAATCAAAGTGCATCATTTTTATGGCTTTTCTCTTTTCTGTGTCTATAAAGTAATACCTAAAAGGCCTCCAGAAAATTCGAGTTACGGAGGTTTCAGGGGAACCTCTTTCGAGTTAGGAAGGTTTTTAATGCATTGTTTCTCAGACTTTAAAAAATATATATATTTGACAAAGTGTTTGACTTGGAGAGGTTTGAGTTATCAAGGTTCAACTGTGCCAGCAAATGCAGAACGCCATCCATCTTTAAATACAATCTTATTACTTTTCACAGTCAATCTTGCACCAAAATTACGTCTTCAAGTCTTGTTAAATTGACTTCACTGATGAAAGGTGGAACTCGGCGATTCAGATATTTGCCTCACTCTCCACTCTCAAGCATCTGAGATTTTTGACAGAAGCTAAACTCGGGTCAGTCGAGAAAAAATAGTATAAAAATGTTTGACTGGCGAAGGTCTTTTTCTGCCCTGACGGCGTGAAACACAAAATTTCAGCGCGTTCTTTCTCTCACTAAGATCACGATCAAGAAATGACTGTTTCATCAAGCAGAGGATTTAACTAGTTTTTTTTTCGTTTTGCTTCTTTTTCACAGACGGATCAAGACATTCACAAGAGCATATCGGCCGGAAGTAGATTGGCAGCCGAAGAATGCAAACAGCAGTTCCGATGGGAGAAGTGGAACTGCCCGAAGAAGGCCTTCTCAAACATGTGAGTTCCGACTTCGACTAGAAAGAAACTGCTCAGCCAAATTCGACTTGTCTTTTGAAGCTGCAAAATGCGCTGCGAACCATCCATGCACACTTTTTAATCGCCCTCTTTTTTCCCCCGTTCAGTGGAGAAACCAGTCGACCTAACAAAGAAAATGCCTTCATTCATGCCATCACTTCGGCAGCAGTGAGCCACACACTGACCAGGAATTGTACAGCAGGTCATTTTGGACACTGCGGCTGCGACATGAGACGTCGTGCTGGAGGACAGTCAGGTCAGTTCGTGTGACGATTTAAATCTTGCATTAGCATGTGTGGACATTCAAAACATTTGCAGAACATGCGCGGATTTCAGTTTAACTTCAAAATCCTGCACGATGAGGAAGCCATTTTAAGTAACGAGAACTTATTGCGTACTTCATCAGAATACGGGACTCGTCTCTCTACAATGATTTTGTCGAAAATGATTTTCGCTGCATAAAAAATTTGTTCTTTGGTTCTATAGGATTCTCTTCCCATGTTTATACGGGTTCTCTGCAACAAAATTCTCTTTAGAAAAGATTTTTCTGGTATTTTGAATTTTGCTGTAGAGAGTAAACCTGTTTTATGAAAACTGGTGAAATAATTTATTTCTTAGTAAAATCTTTGAGTATTTCACTGGTCATGTTCTGGGTAATAAAAACACCCTGATACTGTATTGAACCTGAAGTGTGTATCAGCCTAGCGTACTTCGGAAATAACGCGGGAAATTCTAGTAAAAAATCCAGAATGTCAGGGATTTACAAGAATTTTTCTCTGGATCGCACCTCTTGTTAAACATAGACGTGTCTGCGTACAAATCACCAACAATGATTTTCCTTTACTTCTTCTTTTTACTGTTTTTCACGAATAATTTCATTCGCTATTTGACTTGTGCAACAAGAATGAGTATGTTTTCAACAATGATATCCGCAAAAACATATTTCAGCGTTTAGGCGGGGAATGTTGCTAATCCTTGTTCCAAAATTTCACGTATTTGAGGTAAGCATGATCAAGTCAACAGTCCAGCGAATTTCAGAAATTTCATTTGCATAAAATTAGCAACATTTCGTTCATAGGAGCTAACCTGTCGATGTTTCCGGCGTCAAGACGAGTTTCAAGTTGGAATTTTTCAAGTTTTACCCTCGTTTTCAACAAACAGTCCAAGAAACTTTCGAAAACCCTTTCGGCCCCAAACGCAGAATTCTACCAGGACGATTTTCTCCACTCTGACACGAATATAGAACAACTAGCAAATATTTTTCGGAATATATATTTTCTGACGAATACACTAACGAAGAAAAAAGAGACAAAAGGAATAAAATATTTCATGGAAGCTAGCAGCCATGAAGCAACCGTTGACAACCGGCGGAAAAACTATTGGAATCCGTAGGAACTAATGACAAAGAAACGAGGCCGCCGCAAAAGACACCGATTTTCGTGGTTTTCCCTCCACCGAACCCCCAACAGAAGCCCAAAACCAGGGGAACTTCAAAAATTCATTGATTCCACTTTCCTGAAAACAATTTCAAGACTGTCATGCCCGGCGAAAATAAAAATCTGACTCGATTTTTACTCAACTCAAGCAAAATATTTTCTGGCATTGTACAGTACTGCATAATCGGATATTAGCGGGAATTAGTCTTCAAGCAAAATTTTTAATGACGAGTGCCGTTATTAAATTAAATTATCTTCCCGTCAATGTATTTATGTTCATCCCTTTCAAGTAAAAACTGCGTTCTCTCGCATTTTCTATCCCAGAATATGAGCGTTATTTTCCAAGCTCCTCGACAAAATAAATTAAAATTAGAGCACGTGAACTTCTTTCGATTTTCAGTATGCAGACTAAAAGTGGGAAAATGTCGTTCGTAGGAATAATCTGTGTGCTCCCACAATTATTATTTTTTTTTGGGCTTGAGAAACTTTCCGAAATACCCCCCCGAGGCAAAGAGAAGACACCATGTCTGCCTCGCGGAACCCACAGGGCAAAGAGCCCGAGGACGGGAAATGTCCGCGCATTGTTCCTTCCCTTTCGGGTGTTTTTAATTGCGGCCAGGCGGCTTCTTCAAAAATTCATTGATTCCACTTTCCTGAAAACAATTTCAAGACTGTCATGCCCGGCGAAAATAAAAATCTGACTCGATTTTTACTCAACTCAAGCAAAATATTTTCTGGCATTGTACAGTACTGAATAATCGGATATTAGCGGGAATTAGTCTTCCAGTAAAATTTATAATGACGAGTGCCGTTATTGAATTAAATTATCTTCCCGTCAATTTATTTCTATTCATCCATTTCAAGTAAAAACTGCGTTCTCTCGCATTTTCTATCCCAGAATATGAGCGTCATCTTCCAAGCTCCTCGACAAAATAAATTAAAATTAGAGCACGTGAACTTCTTTCGATTTTCAGTATGCAGACTAAAAGTGGGAAAATGTCGCTCGTAGGAATAATCTGTGTGCTCCCACAATTATTATTTTTTTTTGGGCTTGAGAAACTTTCCGAAATAGGGGGGCTCCGTTTCTCTTCTGTGGTACAGACGGAGCGCCTTGGGTGTCCCGTTTCTCGGGCTCCTGCCCTTTACAGGCGCGTAACAAGGAAGGGAAAGCCCACAAAAATTAACGCCGGTCCGCCGAAATTCGAGTTGACGAGTACAAATGGCGCAGAGGAATGTTTTTGTGCCCGCCCATGCTGGTGGACTCGCTGCTTTAGTCGACACAACAGGGCCTGCACGTCTCCGAAAGACGGAAAACATGCCCAGATTGAGTGTTTTTGGCTCCTGTGCATATGTAAATCGAATTTTTCAGATCGGCGCCACATGAGAAAAATTGGCGCCGTGTGTAGGAAAAATAGGCTACAGAAACGAAATGCCGCGGGCGAAGGTGTTCTATGGGAGCGAGAAACGCAGAGGAGCTGAATAATGTCGACGGAAATATACGAGCTCAATTTAATTAATTTCAGGACAATTATCCTCTTTCTTGGTATTTCACGTTGGGAATACGTTTCGGAAATCAAGAAAGAAATTAGGTGTCAAAAAAAAAGCTTCGTTGGATCCCTCAATTCTGCCGAGAAGAATTTGAAACCAACGTTCCTTTTTCTGCACTTTTAAGCGTTTTTCACGCGAGAAGATCACTGGAAAAGTTCTACAGTACTAACCAAGGAAATTATTTCTGATGTACCAAATATTTTGGCCGAATTAATTCTGCAGTCGGCATTTTTCAGACGTAGAAATAATGTCTTGGATTTTGCTGGATTCTCTGCTTCCGAGAATTCTGAGCAACGCGTTGCTTATTGATTGCTTTATCGTTCTTCATCAGCGAAGATGACTGACTATTCGTCAGAAAAAAAAACTAAAAATGGTCGAAAGAAAAAGAGAGACTGACTGTCCACAACTACCTACCGTCACCCCACCGACGTCGCTGTTAAAGTTTAAACCGCTATTTTAAAGAGCGTTCAAGTGTCTGCGGTACCTTTGTCCGTCTCTGCGTCATGCAATGGCCAACTTGCATAACAATCGCGCTGGGCGTGTGGTGAGTTTACTAATTATTTATATATATTTTTTCTTTCATGAATACCTTCTCCAAAAATCAAGCATGATGTAAAAAAAACTTCATTTCGTTATAAAATCATCAGGATTCATTTTAGGCTATTTTCCGCATTTATTCATGCGAGGAAATTTACATTTAGCCCCATGCATGTCATGTCACCAGCTTCTGGATCTGGGATAAGAAACTACCTATATTACTTATTGCACTAATTTTTACAGCTTAACTTGATGCACGGAGTCTCTAGATCTAGAATAAGACTCGTAACGCATTACGAACCTCGACTGACTTGAAAAACAATTTAAAAAACTAAAGATAAATTGTGTGGGACTGTATGGAAAATGTAGCGCTATGATTGAAGGGGATGTTCATGCAGTTCTGATTGTCAGTAAACTCAATGCAGTATTATCTCAGGTTATCCGTGCTTTTCGATCATCCACATTAAGGCATCGTATTAGTTTTCAAAAACGATTCTTTATTGGATTGCCGTAGGCTTGTATAATGTGGGTTTGAACCCGGGTATGATTATCCAGAACATCTTTACGAAATCCATGCATTTTTCGTTTTAAATGCAGTCTTGATAGAAGCTTATTTTGGCAAAGATGCCCGGAAATCGCGTACAGGCATAATTTTCGAGTGGGTCTTGATTTTGGGGAAACACAGTGATAATAGACTCATAGATGTCAGGTTTTCGCTTAATTTCACTCGCACACCTTTCAACAAAGCAAGTCAAAATGTCCCCCGAAACTGGAAGCTTTTCCCACAGTTTTATGCCCCTGAAGATTCTCCCTCGAACACAATCGCGGGAACTCGGGAATACCAAAATTTTCTTTTTCTCTCTGACTGACAGGTGTTGATGGATGGCAGTGGGGTGGCTGCAGCGACAATTTCAAATTTGGCGATAAAATTTCTCGCAAGTTCACAGACGCCATGGAAACAGGCAGAGACGCAGTGGCAATGGCCAACTTGCACAACAATCGCGCTGGGCGTGTGGTGAGTTTACTAATTATTTATATATATTTTTTCTTTCATGAATACCTTCTCCGAAAATCAGGCATGATGTAAAAAAACTTCATTTCGTTATAAAATCATCAGGATTCATTTTAGGCTATTTTCCGCATTTATTCATGCGAGGAAATTTACATTTAGCCCCATGCATGTCATGTCACCAGCTTCTGGATCTGGAATAAGAAACTACCTATATTACTCATTGCACACATTTTTACTGGTTAACTTGATGCACGGAGTCTCTAGATCTAGAATAAAACTCGACGCATTACGAACCTCGACTGACTTGAAAAACCATTTAGAAAACTAAAGAGAAATTCTGTGGGACTGTATGGAAAATGTAGCGCTTTCCGAAATTGAAGGGGATGTTCATGCATTTCTGTTTGTCAGTAAACTCAGTGCAGTATTATCTCAGGTTATCCGTGCTTTTCGATCATCCACATTAAGGCATCTTATTAGTTTTCAAAAACGATTCTTTATTGGATTGCCGTAGGCTTGTATAATGTGGGTTTGAACCCGGGTATGATTATCCAGAACATCTTTACGAAATGCATGCATTTTTCGTTTTAAATGCAGTCTTGATAGAAGCTTCTTTTGGCAAAGATGCCGGGAAATCGCGTACAGGCATAATTTTCGAGTGGGTCTTGATTTTGGGGAAACACAGTGATAATAGACTCATAGATCTCAGGTTTTCGCTTCATTTCACTCGCACACCTTTCAACAAAGCAAGTCAAAATGTCCCCCGAAACTGGAAGCTTTTCCCACAGTTTTATGCCCCTGAAGATTCTCCCTCGAACACAATCGCGGGAACTCGGGAATACCAAAACACGCAGCTTTCTCATCTTTTACAGCAGCCAAGATAAATCTCGAGATACAAGTATCATTCCCCGGTGTATCCCTGAATATTCCATTGACACAAACAACGGAATTTCTTCACAAATCCCATAAAAAGTCACCCTCCAGGAGAAAAGGACAATTCCTTTTCGGACTGGTCATGGGAGAGAAAACACCTTGTTTAGTGCACCTTAATCCCATCTGAACCCCGCCGAATGGCAATTTTGGACCATCAATCAGACACGGGGCGTTCGGCAATTTGCCGCCTCGCGGATTTGTCGAAAACTTTTATTCTCCCCGTCCTTGGGACGAAGCCAGTATTTTTCTTCAGGAGAAAATTCTATTGTCAATGTATCTTGCTGCGTATTCCGTCTACCCGACTCATTCAATCAAAAGTGAAGTACACCAAGGCTTTTCAACCCGCGGTACGCGTACCAATGGATACCTTCCCGGGGAAGGAAATTTGTGAAGAATACGTGCATTAATAGAATGCAATTTCGCACAGAAAACAACTCGAATTGAAAGAAATATTGCAGAAGAAAGTTGATGCCAAAGGATGGAAAAAAAACTTAAAATGGCGTTGATAATGGTATCACGGGGGATTTTTTGCAATGAAGTATTTCCTTCGATTAAAAACACGACGGTGTGGCGTTACAATATTCTGCTACCGCGTGTCTGTGCTAGGATTATTTTTATACATGTGAAGTAAAATTTATGCGTGCTTTGAATCAACTGATCAGTTCAGAAGGGCAGTAAAAAAAAATTCAAAAGCACTCCAGAATTTTCTCGCAGGCATTTTCTATACTCGGGAGTCGGGACCCATCAACACAGTCGCCATGCATAAAAAGGTTGAAAATCGCAGACGTACATCATATGCACGAAAAGCAATGAAAAAATCGAACTGTCATCAGGAATTTCGAAATTATTTTCTTCCATCAATTTAAAACGAGAGAAAGTTACTTTTCTAAATGGAGGAACCTTTTGAAATTCTTTCACAGGCCGTGCGTCGGACAATGCGGAAAATTTGCAAATGTCACGGAGTGAGTGGAAGTTGCACGACGAAAACCTGCTGGATGACACTGGGACAGTTCCGAGAAGTCGGCGATTTTTTGAAGCAGCAATACAACATGGCAGTCAAGTGAGTTTCGCATCATATCCATAATGAATTCATCAATCAAATCCCAATCATATTCTTTTTACACTGCAGTAATGAGTACCCTGAAGAACCTCGTTTGAATACAATTTCGAATGTGGTTCTCAAATTTATCAGATCACGGAACTTCCGTCACTATAGTTGCAGGAAAGTAAAACGAGCGCTGAGGAATGAAGAAGTAGTCTAGTTGATTTTCTAAATTTTGCATTATTAATTCAATCCATAATCTCGAGTCGTGAAATTGCGTCAGAATTTTCGAAATTATCTCAGGCTGGAGATAATTATATTCTCAGGCTGGATGCTAAGATCGAGCAATGTGAAAATGTCAAGTTTAAAATATTTTTAAAATCCACTTCGAAAAAGTTTAACTTCTGCCGAGACTTATGAAATCTGGAGGAAGGAATTGAAATGAAATGATCTTTTCTCAGGCTGGATCAATGGAATGCCAAGTATGGCATGTGGATGACGAATTCCGTGGATGGACACAAAAAACGTGGAGATCACGATGATCTCTCGCTTATGGACTCCCTGGCGAAACGAACTCTTGTCTTCATCGAGAAGTCATTTGATTACTGCTCACCCAATCCGTTTGAAGGTAAGCATCGATATTTCAATTTCCCACCTTGAATCGATACCGAATGTATCCCATTATTGACTACAATTTCTTCAATAAATATTCCCGAATGACACTCGGATTCATCCTTTGCTGGATGTTAGCAGAAATTAGTCGCACCAGAGTTTCGTACAGGGCCAAAGAGTTTCCTGGATTAAATTCAAGTAATGACAGATACTTTTTAGAAAAAGACACAGACACGGAAAAGGAGCCAAAAAAGTAAAGAACAAGTATTGTAGACATCTGGCACACTGTTCACAGATAATGAGAAAAACTCTAGAAAAAAAGAGCAAAAATACCCTGCTTCGGATTAACACTTACTAATTACACAGTAGTTCTTATAATTTTTGAACATAAATAGCTCACTTTTTTTTCAAGAAATTTCAAAATTTTGAATATTGCAATTTTAGCGTTTTTCTAGAAATGTTGGCCGTGCCCATATCTCAAGGGGTGCAGGAGGAAATCCCGCAGGCCCGATTAAAATCTTGCGGGCCTAAAATTTGTCAAGGGTGCAAAAATTCAGAACTTTATCAAATTTCACCTTTCAATGATTTTGAGCATTCCATGAATGAAATTCGACTTCAAAACCGCATTCAGAATTTGTCTACGCACAGAACACAACATCGCCTATACTTCAATTACCACAAGAGGCTTTTTCTGCTGCATAAATTCATGCGGCGGGATTTTTGTACCCCTCGGGATTCCCGTACCCCACGGCATTTTCGTTTCATGAGATTTTCGGGCCTCCGGGACCCTTGAGTCAAAGCTTCCATACCTCGGGGCCCCCAACTCGTGAAAAAGCATATTCAGTAAAATTTGTATTTGGATTCCAGGTACAAATGGGACTCGTGGCAGAGAATGCTCTCGTCGTCGTGGACAGAACGTCACTCAAGAAGAGCGGACGAGCTGTCGGACGCTGTGTCGCGACTGTGGCTTGAAGGTTCGCCGACGCATCGTGGACGTTCCAGTTTCCTGCAACTGCAAATTCGTCTGGTGTTGTCAAGTCAAGTGCGATACTTGCATCCGATCGACGGAAGTTGCATCCTGCGAGCGGTAAAAATGCGCCTTCGGGGACCACAGGGTCGGTGGTCGCGGATGACGACATATATAATCCGGTTCTCACATCAAAAGACGCTTCTTGGGTTCGATTGCGTGTGTGCCGCACGCGCCGATGACGGAAGCGTGGGGACTGATGTTCGCTCACATCTATGCATAGAGCCTGTAAACCCGCTGCTTCTGGACCGAAATTGTGCCAATTAACGGCTCTTTTTGTATCTTGGCCTGCGAGGGAGTGGTCATGAGTCCGAGTAGTTTTTTTTTTATTATTTATGACGCGCCAGTAATTTTGCCCGTTCAAGAGAAGATCCTCAGTAGGTGTTGGGAGAAAATCACGCAGTGAACGTCAAGTGGTGGAATTTTTCGCCGGATGGAAAATTTGTGCATCACTCAAATCAACTCGCAAGACCATTGAACAGGAAACAAAGTGTTTCTGCTAGTAAATTAAAGTTCCTCAGATGATTATTTAAAGACGAAGCCGTTCCATTTCGAAAGCTTAAACGCCCAACAAAAAATACTGTATTTATAAAATGGATTTTTCAAGACTGAGTGCAATCTATGCCCTTAGGGAATAAGAAAATTCTGGAAATTTAAGTTTGAAGAGAGACTTCAGGAAACATCGAACGAAATTTTTGAAGCTTCTGTGGGGGATTTCTTCAATAATCTTTGTAGCAAAGAAAAATTTTGAGTCGTAGCAAAAACTCAGTAACTGTGCTAAACTTTGTTCAAAAGAGCTGGACATCGAAAGAGTTGGTCAGGTGATCCGAGTGTACCATGAATCCAACGTCGCTGCGTGATTTTCGCATGACACGCGTGGGAAACTTCGAACTCAAAACATATTAGTGAGCATACGTGTCACTGGAAGGACCAGATGTTGTTTTGTGAGATTTCACCCGTGCAGGAAGGGAAAAATTCTTTCCAGACTTCGGGAAGAAAAAAAGGTCATTGGATTTGTATTTTCGTGGGAATCGAAGTCCGAGTCGGGCCGGAATTATCGCGGGTAGTGATGAATTTTATTGAACGAAATTATTCGTCGATGAACGACTTCGTCGGAATGCGTTGTGATATTTTTCTTGCTCCTTATTGATGTTGTACAATACGCTTGTGCCTATTCGTCGCTTCTAGTCTCTGCCCGATTCCGAAAATTCTCGCTCCTCCAAACCCCTTCGCTGGAATCTTGCTCATGTTATTTCATCACATTGCAGACTGAATTTATCAATACAGTATTGAAGGTTTTACAAATTCTAATGGAGCCAACATTTTTCTGTCAGCCGGATCTACTTTATTACCTACAATAAGGAAGTGATCATGTTCATCGCAGGCATCGGGAAATTCCACATATTCAAGAAATAAACCCTAGCAAAACTTTCGATACACCTTGAAATGAAATAAGCTTCTACTTGAAAATTAAATCGTATGGTTACTGAAGGTAGTCACGTGATGTATGCATCAAAATCTTATCATAGCATATTCGAATGCAGCACTGCATACGTAAGAAGGTTGTCCCAGTTGGATGCGACCTCTAATATTTTTAGACTATGTGACTGTAAAAACAATTATAACATTGAAAATTATATTCTAGGGTTCCAGGATTTATTTTGGATTTTAAAAAGTTTTTTAGTTCACTGCATGACAAGAGATAACTTATTTCAATTGAAGCCAGCATTTTTCAGGCTAGCAAAAAATATCGATTTTTTTTTTAATAAACCATCATATCTAGAATGTAGAGAATATATTGGGTAAAATAACAACGAATTTCTACTTTTAGCTGGCCCCGCAAATTTATACAGAAGCCGTGTTCTCAAAGAAATAATTCAAAAATTTCGCTGTTTTAAAATTCAGTTTCGATTCTCACTATAGTCGCATAATAATGCATTTGGATAAAAATGTCCATTTCTGAAATTCGCTCTCATGCGGTTATTTGCAGCCTTTCTCATCAACTACATAATTTTTTAAAAAATGCTGTCGTTTTTGGCCCACCTTTCGCCGTATTCAATTATTAACCATGGAATAGGGACACATAGCCCTCGCCCATCATATTAGATGAGCCGTACATCAGTTTTCAAGCCTATTGCACCTTTTTTCGTGCTTTTTGAAACGATAATGTATTGCAGTTTTTTTTAGCACGAATTGTAGGGAACTATTGCTCTCGTTTATTTTCAGAGACGAACTGATTAAGATTTTTTTTCTTCGGGAAGCACAGTCAATGACACACGATTTTCGTGTGGATTCTCCTTGCAGTATGTAACGAGTTGAATTTTGATGCAAAGACAATCGGCGATACGAATTTCCTCTTGTCATGTCGCGGACAATTACATCTTCTCCACATGGAGCACTCAGCAAACTGATTTTTTCAACCCGCTCCAACGTCGCGAAGTAGTGGTGTAAAACCATTCGTCGCTTTCTTTTATATTTTTGAAGAAAAATCGAGGTTTGACAAATAAAAAAGAATGTACGTACGCAGAATTAACCGTGGGTCACACGGTTCTCTCTTGTATTTTCTCAACAGGAGAGGGAAGAGCGCATGCGGTAGAATCCTCGGAGCTAAGAAACGAATGAAAACGAGGGGAGTGTTGCGCGATGAGCAAGACGAAAAATAACCACATTCCGGCTTTGAACATTCGATTCCGACAGGCGTAAACAACAATTTTCTCGAGGTTCTTCGTCAACTCGTATTTTTGGAATTGCTCAATTCGCGCACGGACGAGGTGAGCGACATCCGCAAATTTTTTTTGCCAGGTTCCGTTCAAAGCGGGACTTCGCGAAACGTGGCGACAATCACAAAAGCGCATCTAAAAGCACCCCCCAACACGTTCAAACGAGCCACAAGAAGCGTGTTTCTCGCCTACATGGTCGTTACGTGGCTGCCAAATTCGAGCGGATGAACGCAAGAAACTTCGGGTTACGTTTTTAAGCGCAATTCAACTCGGATCATGGAGTGCTACCCATTCACAGGAGATGGCGGTCATTTCTTCGTCGGTACACGTATTCACAGCGAACGATCAGAATCTTCCTAAACACACCATTATATTCCACTCGGATTTAATGGAATCCTCAAAAAATGCTGGATTACAAAGTTACGCTGCACTTTTCAGATCAACCCATCGCATTCCATAAAGCTCACAAATTAATTCGAACTTAGAAAGACTGACGCTGACGACAAATGCAATCAAGAAGATTTTCGGCGGCATCGTTGAGAAGCATATCGGATGCTGATCAAGAAAAAAAAGTGAAGCACAGAACCGTTCTTCAGCTAGGAATGCGTAGCTAGAAAAGTATTCCACAGCGGGGAAATTCGTTGCTGAACATCCATAAGTTATTTACAGAGACACAGCGGAAATTCATACTTATCGCCAGAGAACAGAAACTATTGCACTCCATCTACTAGAAAAAAAAAAACATTCGCCCAGCAAAATAGCTAGCCTCTGGCCATCTAACAAAACAAAACTACTTAAAATTGACGCATCACTGTTCGAACAACAAACAACTTGTTTTTCAAGCAGACTTTTGTGCTTTTGGATACGCTCAGGACTGTCAAAAGTTCGCGAGGACACACTCAACGCCGGCGAGATACACACAACCGCAGAAGACCACCGACCTCACGCACCCCGCGCAGAAAATAAAAACCAACAAGGCAATCTTAACTAAGATTATTATAAAATAAAAAGAACCGAGGACGGGTACCCGGGTCGTTCGGCTCCATCCAACATGTACAACGCACGCAAACCTTCGGAAGATCCGAACCGAGTCAGAGTCGTTCCGTCGACACGCTTCCAGACATCAAAGGTACAAGTGCGCACGACTAGGCCGAGCTGAAGCGACTAGTATCTCGGCAACATGTTGGGATCACGGGCTAATTTCCTCTTCTTTTTAAAGGACGGCGGCTTGAAAAGCCCTTTTCACCACTGAGAGTTAGTCTGCATTATTGTACAACCAGAGTCATAAACAAGACCAAGTTTTACTTTATTCCCTGCAATCCGACGGAAATCTATCTCGTGAAGAAATATAGAAACCACAAAATTCAAGACCGACGAAGTGTCGCATTAGCCCAAAAAGGGCTAACAGGATAAAATCGCGGACTGCCATTTAAGACAACTGGGGATTGATTAAAAACTTTGATATTTGAGCTGGACGGCACAAAAATGTCGTGGAGAAGAGAACCGCCGTCCCAAAAAAGCGAAATATCCCGCATCAAGTTCATGACCGTCCGTTAGCAACAGCAGACCGCCTCCCATCACAAATTCCTCGCTTAACAAAAACATGAACAGGACGGGATGCAACAACTTGCCGGGACAAGGAAAAATATTCGGCGCTGACACACGCGCTCGGGTGTACACCACAAAATCGAGATCACGCATATCCTCTAAAAAAAAAAGCCAATGCAAAATAACCGCCAGTTACCAACTCGAAGTCAATCCAGGAAAACATTCCCGTCAAAAATCGCGGTAACGCGAAAAAAAAAATACCTGAGAAAGGAAAGCAAAGAAAAATCAGGTATCACAAAAAGTCCCAAAAGCAAGTTATTACATCCACACCCGCTCCCCGTCAAGCAAAGCAGGAAGCCTTTTCCGGAGGCAGCGAAGGAAACGATCAGGTCCCTCAAAATCGGTAACACAGCATTACTTAATTAATCTTAAAAAAACCACATCCAAGACACGATCACAGACGAAACTAGTTCAACGCCAGGAAATAGTGGGTCTTGTTCTTCGCTAAGGTTCGTTCTGAGGTGGTCAGCTTCACAGAGAAAGAATAAAGAAGTACTCTGGGAGGGACACACTGGAAACGGTCTTCTCTCTCCATCGGGAGCCATTACAGAATGCTGCGATAAAATCAACAGCGGTCGCACTTCCACAGTCCCGCACAGCAACTTGAAAATATAAGCTTTCAAATCATTTGAAAACGCCTCGTGGGCTCATAGCCTTTTCCAGCATACAACCAAGTACAGTATTACCGTAACTTCGCAAATAATCGTAATATGCTCGCCGTCATCGCAAGCTGGAGCTTTTTAGTTACCCGATGAATTGACAATGATCAGAATACATATGCGTGTGAACACATGCTCACGTAAACCGATTTCAACGGCGCTCCGAGCATTCTTAGTCTGAAAATAATTTTCCTAACGATAGATAGAAAACCGTGCAATCCTCTAGAAAAAGAATCGCTTTTCTTGAAAAATTCATCTTGCGACAATGAGACCCATCAACTTTCACAAATCGAACTTTCGAGGTTCACGCCCGGAATTGTAAGGTTTTCGAAGACACGTTGCTGTGCGATCTGGGTAAAAATTGTTAACCAGCTGTTTCTCTCACCATAAGCAATATCGGTCACCCCGATTCTTAACTAATGAGGCCTTCTGAACGATTCCGTGACTTCCCCGAGACTAGGATAAGACAGGTAAAGAACTAATGAACTATCATTTTTCAATGTTCTTTTTTTTTACTTTACGGTTGAGTTGAGTGATACATAAAGACTGTTGAAGCGACAAATTAAATTATAAACGTCAAGTTGGATAAGCACGGAAAACTTTCAGAAGCCCTCATTGTCTAGCTAGACATCCAGATTCCCTTTCTGCGTCTCACTCTCGAAAATTAAAATGACAACACCGAGAAAAACACACCTAGACAACTAGAACGTCAGCTGGATGAGGAGAGGAGTTGAAGTCGAGTGCTCCGGGCTCGCAGCGTGAAAGAAATGGCAATCAAACGAGAAAAAACGACAAGTTAACAGATAAACGATGCAGTATCATAGAAAAGACAGGAAGGTCCAAGACGGGAGAGAGAGAGAGCGACAGAGGGAAAACATAATCAGACGACAAACATGCAAAAAAACTGAAGTCCAAAATTTGAACTTTCGCCTCCGAATCTTCGAATCACCAACTCAGATTTCTCTCAATAAACTTTTTTCGCGTAATTACTTCGGCTTGAATTCAACGCACAGAAACTCTTCGTCCATCACGCTTGTGTAAAGTGAATCCCTCGGCTCCACCGGTCGCTGAGGGTAGGGGCCAGAACCGCTACCGCTTGCCCATCATGCCGTTGGCCGGCGACGGACTCGACGACGTCAGCCCGTTGCCCATGTCCATCTGCCCATTCATGAACAGGTCACCGTTGCCCATTTCCCGGATCTGAGGCGGCGTCAACGCGCCCACGCTTCTCATCTCCAGCTCGCACAGCAACGGGAAATGGTCTGCTCCATCAAACCCAAGAAAAAAAAAAAGAAATCAGTCAAATAAGCAAGTCTACCGCGCGGTATAACTTCCACATCAGAAATTCCTTAAATTCTCAACAAAAATGCATTGTACGTGTGCAGAAAACCACAGTGGGACCACGACATACGGGCGATCCGACTTGGGGACACTTGAAACTTCGAAAAATCTGCTTCAACATCTGGAAAATGTCTCGAGGTGCGGATACTTTCGTATATTTCAAGAAAACTTTAAAATTTTCAGGACAAAACGTCAGATTTTGTTTGGTTTTCTCCTGCATCTTGAATTTGAAAAAAAATGTCACTTACTTCTGGGTCCTTATTTCTGATTATTGATGAACAGGAGAGCTAATTACATATGTTCCCAACTTCCCCATTAAGCCTATGGGAAAACATGATCCGATATCTAGGGGTCTCAGATTATCATGCTGCATATTGAACGAACAATCAAAAATAAAAATAAATTATTTTCAAAAGAACAATACATGGCAGGGCCACAAAACAAATTGATATTCAAGCTGCGGCACTTCTTCGTAACTCACATTGCATTAAAAACCTTGCAGGAGTTTCAACGAAAGGGTAAAACGATGAAAAAAATAACGTCCTTTTTTCTAACGTCACTTTAACCCAGTAAAAGAACTTCATTCCATCCCTTCGGAATGGTTATCCACGATGCTTTCCAATATACAGAATTACGGAATCATAACATACCCGATGGGACGTGGGGATGCGGACAACCTACGATCTTGCTAGACGCCATCCAGTTCTGATCGATGGGCCCCAAAATGCCCAATGTCTTGACGTTTTCTTTGGAATGAAATATGTAGTCGATAACTCCCTTGAAGTCGTACCTGTAGAATCATAGATGAAACCTGTCTATATCTCAACTGCAATCATCAGCCTCGCCGTAAAAACGTCATCACCAAAATATACAATTGCATGCCACGCAGAAGCAGAAAGAAAAAACCTACGTGTAATTCGTATACGGCATAACGTCATCGCCATAAGCGCAGTTGAGTTTGAATGGATGATCGAAATCTGCGTTTGGCTTATCGGAGGCCGTTAACTTCTTGAGGCAGGACCGGTAGGCGTAACCTTTGAAGTCAAGGTGGTCGAAGCTAATCCGCCGCTTCGTCAAGAATTCCGTCACACCTGCAATGCCAAATTATTTCGAATCAAAGCTCTCACGAAATGTAGTAACAGGCTACTTCAGAACTTCACCAAAATCGCACGAAGTCTAACCCAGCGTCTAAAGACGATATCGGAAAGTAAAGCAGAATCTCGATATCAGAACCTCCCAAAGTCAAATACTTTCTACGTCAAATTTACTTGAAGTCCCTGCCAGAATTCCCTCAGAAACAATTTCCTAAAAACCTTCCCAACTCGAAGGCTTTCCTCCTTGAACCTCCATGACTCGAATTTTTGGAGGCCCCTTCGCTATCATTTTACTGACACAGGGAAGAGAAAAGGAATGAAAATGTAACATGATGCGCTTTGAAAGGTAGTGAACGAAACATTGGGAAAATGAACCCTTGCCTCCAAGTTCAGCATCCTGTCAACTCATTCAAGAATCAAATTAAGGCCTAGCATTCCTCTAATTACAATTTCGTGCAATTCTTCTTTCTTTCCCTTTAATACAAATGCTCGTTTTCCCACCTCAAAATCTCTTGAACTAAATAAACCCTCGCCACCAAGTTCAGCATCGTGTGAACGCATCTAAGAAACAATTTAAAACTTCAATTGAAATTTTCATGCAATTCTTCATCCCCCCCTTCCAACGGAAATGCTGGTTTCCCCAACTCGAATTTCTTCTCTGATCCCTTTAGTTCGACTGAACAAACAGCACTAAAAATGCGTTTATTTCACACAAAAAATACATTCAAGAAAGAAAAGAGGCAAACGAACCAGAGCCAGGCTGAGAGTTCAAATCCCCACAAATGAGGATGTTGACATCATTGGTTCGCAGCGGGGCGTCGTTTTCCGTGAACCGATAGCCGCTGTTCTGAGCGATCGTTTCAAGTTCACGCATCAACATCATCGTCTGGATCAACTTGACGTCCGAGAAATCCGGGTCCCAGTGAATGTGGCACGTGCACACCAGCACGGGTTGCGTCACATGCCCCCGTTCCACGCCTACGGACAGGGAAATATTCTCGGTTTTTCACTCGGTCCATTTGTAAACAATACAATTTAAGCGCATGGAACGTATAGGGAGTCAAGGAGAGGATAATTTCTCCCATTTTTGAAGAAAATTAATTCTTCGACGTCTCAAACAAAAGTGGGGGAAAAATGGAAAGTTAGAAACATAACCAATTTTTTTCTTCATACTGTACAGCACAGTTCTAGGATTGTCCGGGCATTAGGTCAACAAGTCAAGGTACTGCTCATGAAATTAGGATTCTGTACTTCAGAACTTGAGATTACATATCTAATAATTTGCAGTAATTTAATCATTCCCGATTTTTCAAGTTGGAACAGCCTGCACCTCGTTCAAGAAAGTAAGTATGAAAAATTTAGAATTAATGGAGTGCCCGTTCACCTACTTTTAGGCCGAGGATTTCGTACGACTCCCGCTGAAGTCTTGGTGCTACAGAAAATATTGGCATTTTGTAAACTTAAATCCGTCAAATATGATCAGAGCATGATCTGGCGCGCAGTTTCTTTCTGACACAGCTCGGAAATCCGACAACCAACAGATGAACGGATAAACGGGCTGTCGAGAATCTAAATAATACTGTATGAACGAACCGTATTCCCAGATTTCTTCGCGAGTCTCCAATAGAGCTGCCAGACCGATGTTGTCCTTGGTCATAACTCGATTCAACATATCATCCGAGCCCTCGTGATGCACCATTGCCAGTTGGTTGAATTCCACCAAGTGGCTAGAGACCAACTTGAACCTGCCGAAATATGAGTCATGAGAAGAAGCCTGAAACATGGAATGCATCGCTCCTCCTATGCCTTTTTGGCAAATATTTACTGCGCACAATATCAGTGCAATATTCCATCCACTTGAAAATTTAAGTCCTCCTTTTCTCCGCCGCTTGAAATTATGAGCATATCTTGTGCTTTAAAAAATTAAGAGATTTAGAGATGCAAGTCAAGATATCATTGAGAAACCTGGGACACTTCCCTCTCCATATTTCCAATTCTTGCAATTAATTGCTCAAATACGAAGTTTTTTCACGCATTATCGAAAAACTTGAACAGGGTACTTCAAATTTGTCTCCAGGAATAAATCCTGAATGCAAATTTCTTTCGTCTAGAATAGAGGGGTCTCTTATACAGTATTGGAAAATGGGCTCTGCCTCAAAATAAACACGATTGCATGAAGCCGTAAATGGCATGTTAAGTGGATTCGATAAATTTTCCGCGGTAAATGAAATACAGTACGTCCAAAAGGTATACAGTACAAGGATTGAATTTATCCTCTTCAAGAAATTCAGTTAAAACTGTCAGAAGAATTCAAAATGAAACATTTGAATAAAAAAATCTGATTCGCTCCGAAAGCAATCAGACAAGACTCACTTCCGGACTCGGTAGAAAATGGCACACCCATCTACATGCTTTCGCTCATTCTCACACATGGTTTTCGCACGGGACTTGGGAGAGAAAATGCCTTCATATCCGTCTCGCTCCAGCTCCGGTCGGAAAAACTTGTAAAACTGCTCTGTTTCCACCTCCTACACACGAGATTCCATGAATGATGACAAGACTTGACTAAATAAATTTTCTAGAAACGAACCTGCAGAGTTATAATATCAGCTGAGCAATGACGAATTTGGTCCATGATACCCTTCTTCCGATACTCCCACGACAGGGCCCATGACGGACAGAAGCCGTACATTTGTCGGGTCGCATACTTGTCACACAATACATTGTAGCACATCACCGTATAGGAACCTATAAACAGCAACAAGACGGTTCAGTTTTCGCCAGTTCAGTATCTGATACTACAGTAGTCATAACATTGCTCCAAAATGCTTCAATTCGCTCTTCGACATTCGCAGAAGCCGTATGCGATGTCTTCTGTTGGAAAAATTTACTGATTCATGCAAGTAAAATTATAATATCCATCAATCTCGAGCAAATGACAAATGAACCTTTCATACCGTCGTTTGGAAAATATGGCTTCAATTTAATATTCGAAGAAAGGAAAAGAAACTCACAGATGTTTGGTCGACGATCAGGGTGACTTTGAGGAAGCCATGGCCGTTGTGGGGGAACTGGAGTGGAAACTGCAAAAAAAAAAAACTGATCAGACACAGAATCGAATTTCTGTTCAAAAACGCCGATCAAAATTTGATACGACGCTGCAGAAATAATGTGAGCCCCCAAAGAGTGCAATTCCGAACAGTGGAATAAAATGGCAACCAAAAAAAAAAAAAAGAAAAGGACGTGAGCAAAATTCCCGGAGCTTTTCGTGACCGGACATTCGGTGTAAGCAGGAAAAGTATCAGGGTGAAGCCCAATTTCCACAATCCGCGAGATCGCCGAGAAATTGAATGGAGTCGAAAGCAAATGAATCATTCTTTCGCAAATGTGTACTGCATAGGCCTGATGTACGGTTTTCGTTATGCAAAAGGCCTCGTTCAATATACCGAGGATAAATCGTGAGCATTCAAAAATCTCGAACAAATCCAAACACGCATAAAATTCATGAAGTATTTATCACGAAAAAAAAAACGAAAAGGCTGAACTTTCGAATGCATACTTTCGAGAAGGCGGACAGGCAAATGCCGCATTTCTGCTGAATGAAAATCAGCAGCTTTCTCGCACTTCATGAAATGAAGATCAGGAACAAAAAAAGGGGGGGGCGTGATAGGCAATCGGCGAGGATGAAAAAGGTATCAACTAAAAGCAATTGATCTGGTAAAAGTGACCCGAGATTCTCTAAAATGAGACAAAAAGCTTGGAGATGCCGCCCCATAAGCTACAATAATCCAACGCGATGAGAATACATCAAAAACGTAAACAAAACTCAACAGCCTCAATCCTTTCTTCAAACAACACATGAGTTTCTGAATATGAGGAAAATAATCGCAGCAAGCTAACTACAAATCGCGATCGTCAAGGTTTGCCACCCTCAACGCTTTCCTTCGAGGATATACGACATATCTTTTGTGTGTCGACAGATCAATCAGGTAGATGCGGTGGGGTTTCAGAAGTGTTCAAAAAAAATTAATGGGATAATTTTAAGGGTTTCAAGAGTTTTCAGAGTCGGAATCTTCGAAATCGTCCTGAGATCAATAGCGTAGGTCAATGCAAGCTTCTGTCAATTTGCTGAGGGCTTTCTTAAATTTTATCCAAGACTTCAAAAATTCTTCCTCAAAAATTGACATTTTCAAGGAAGCTGAACAATCAGCATTATTTAAAAAAAATGACACTAAATTTCTTGAATGAAGGTAACTAAAACTATAAATATTCCCTACCAAGAATATCTTCACTACCCTGCGAACTATTCTGCAGCACTTAGATTGTTTCAGGTTTGCGCAATGTGCGATTTTTCCAGGTAAACTCAATTTCCTCACAGTGATGACGTGTACTTCAAACATGCGTCTTCTCTTCATTTCAACCTCGAAGAGGAAATATGTGAAAAAAATACTCGAGGAATGACGAAATAACACTCCGTAAAATTCAAGTCATCTAAAAGGGCTTCATCAAAGGCAGCAAAACAATAACAGAACTAACGAATCAAGTTTCGTAGTTGCGTCTACGGCGCGAAGATTAGTTCGACAAGGATTAATTCACCTTTACGTCACTCACACATAGTGGACCTTGCGGAAAATGGTTTTCAAACAAAACAAAAAAGCCATGCTTGTAAAACAACTCGCCTGCATAACACTCCTGTCAGCCCTGAAAGAAGAAACACGAAGAACTGGCAGCGGTTTCGCCACCTGAACCAAGGCCACGCGAGAATTTGCATTCAATGGACAACCGAATTCGTGTCGCTCGTAAGAGGAGCTCATCTTCCCTTATTCCACCATCCGAGAAAAGAGCGGGAGTCGTTTTTGGGACCGGCTGACCTAGAATCTACAGTCCATGTCACGACGTCATCTCCACTTCAATGCCTCACGAACCTTCAACTAGATACTCTTTTTCAATGCCCCTCAGGCGTGACCACGACACTTGAACGCCACGGCCGAACGAACAATTTGCGCGGAGTAATAAAGGGAATTCACCAACAAATGCTTCTCGAGTGATATCAAATGAGGTCAGAGCAACGGTGAGATTCAATCACATGATTCGCAAGTAACTAAAAAACCTGTCCATTGAAGCTCAAGAGCAATGCAATACCAGTGAGACGATCAAACATTTACTGCGCATTGAAAAAGACATCATTCATGGCGCGGGTTCAATACATGAGTATATCCAAGCTAAAGCACGAATGCATTAAGATTGAAGGCTATGTCAAGAGGAGTTGAAAGCAAATTTTCAGCGCGAGAAAAATGATGAAACCTCAGGGCTCATTCTTTTTTTAAAGTTCGATCTTTAGCCCAATTAACCTGTGCATGCTATCTCAGCAAAACTCATACTTTTACACGAAGAATCCGAAAGAAGATGGGATGAAGCCCCATTAAAGGATTTTTGGCATTCACCCACACTTGAACGAATTTTTGATGCAATGAAATAATAATTTATTCTGTACATAACACATTTAAAATTTCCTATGAAAATTTTTTATGCAGAAAAAAAAATTGCTCCAACTCAGTTCACAGAAACCAAGACTCTCTAAAAGCGGAAGCCGATCAGTGTCTCGACTTTTGATGAAATTGGCAAAATATCGCCCTGTTTTGCAGATCGCGGACACATATGGTTTCCATGTACTGTATAATACGATGTCCATAAGATATTTTCGTGAGTTTGATTTCGGAAATATTTTAATATTTTCGCTAGCAATGCCAACATCAACCAAGAATCAAGTCGAAATTTTTCCCTCCGTACTTGAAGACATGGAAGAAATAGTAGTCTTCATAGAAAAAAAAAAAATCAAGTAGCGACATATGCAAGGGTTTTCACATTCGTCCCATAGATTTGAACATTTGCAAATCAAAATCATGAAAAAGGGTTCGGAGTTCTTCCTATTTCGGTAACCCAATATTCTCGATTACTTGGTACTTGGATACCATCTCGTGACAGACTCCAATCAACTCGTCAATTCCTCAAGACTCGGAGGGGGAAAGCAAATATTATCCAGTATTAGCATCGTTTGCGTAGGCTGATGAATGAAATTGAAAATAAAAACATCCCCCGAGGCAGAGGATTACTTTAAATCAAGCACGGAAGCTCGCAGTACTACAGGAAATGACTCTCGCGCAGCCATTGACGTGGAATGACTTTCACAACCGAAGGGTACACTATTCAAGAAAGGGGAAAACTTCTCTAAAAAGTGAAGCAACAGGTTTTTTCAAAATGCTGACAACTTTTATAATTCTCGTAAAGAAAATTCTAAAATTAGAATCTCTGAAGTGCAATTCGAGCATCGATAAGAGGAACGTATATTTATCCTGGCACAAAGATGGTTTTTCTTCCAATTGACGTATGCATTCGAAAGTGAATCAAAAGATTAATGTACATCCCACGACAACGCTCGGTTTAAATTCAAATTCATAATCCGTTCGCCCGCAGAAAGACGATTAAAATATATTCTCAAGTTTTTCTGCAACTTTTTGACCCGACCTCGCGTGACAAAATAAAAGATCTGTTGAACGTCAGTCAGTCACACTCTTCGTTACCCAAAACCCGAAGATGTCATACGGGAGATCCCTAACCGTTATTCCCATGAAAACGCGATTCAATCTGAATTCGAAAAAAGCGGGGGAAACGACCTGCGACTCAGATGAGGCAGTTCGCGGTCAACTGGAGGACCCCCTTGAAGAATGCGTTCACGCATCGCCAGTGACCCAGATTTGTTTTTCCACGGCCTGTATCCTGAAGATACGCCTAAATGTCGCGAACACATCAACGGACTCTATGCCCCTGGATACCGTTTGAATCCAGGAACATCATTAGGCCGGTTGAGATACTTGCTCTTCATTGAAAAAATTACGGTTTCATCAAGTCAACCGCATTCCGCCACAGATACATCCGCTACATGTTGGCATCGCATATCTTTCGAATCTTGGTAGATCTGGTGTCCTCTTCTTTCGTGACAATGCTTCGCAGCACATCGATTTCATGAAAATCATTGAAAGTCATAATCCGCTTTTGCTACCACTCTGCTTCGTGGAAAACGTTGAATCCCCCGTGCTTCAATCGGCTATAACCTCATCGAAAAATACTGGGTACCGAAGGAATTAATAGAAAAATGTTGGCCATTATGGGTACGCAAAAATCCAGAACACTCGCCGAAGGAGCACTGACGATTTTCATGCGATCAGACACGCTTTCGGACCACTAGGGGGACACTTCCAGTATTTCCGCAATTCGCGAGAAACCCATTTTCATTAAAACGCAGACTTCTTTCATTGCACGGTATTTCTTTTGAAACGCATATAACAAAGATTGGCTCATGTTCCGCTATCACAGGTGAAAAAATTTATTTTCATATTTTTGCACAGCCTCAGATATAACCCAATGGGACTTCCAATCTGGCAAATTCAGGTTCCTTTCTCTCGATGCAATTCTACAGGAAAACTTTCACACTGTTGCAAACTTCATTGCCGTAACCCATGAACTCAGTTTTTTTTTTTTCAAGTCTTGAAACATGACCTGGTTTGAGTTTCCGGATTCCTACACGATAGGTCATTTGAACACGCAATGCGTCATGAGGGACACACTAAAGCTTGAGAAACGCACTCGAGGTATTCACACATGATTACTAGCATTCAGCACGGAGGAAAAACTGAAAACGGTTTCATTTGTACGACACAAATATGCGCGTAACTAAGAATACTAGATAATTGCATCGCTCACTTTTGTTGAAATTATACACAGCATATTTTCATAGAATACCTCACTTTCTACGAATTACGAAGTGCAGTATTGTCGTAACACGGGACTCACACCTGTTCAAAGGGGATTTCGCAGCTTCGCGGAAAATGTCAAAGAATTTCAAGAAAAAATAATCGTAGTTCACCGATTCATTCAATGTCGTTTTATTCCTCTGGTACCTGCAGGCTGTCTAAGAAATGATAAATCTGAACAGGAAAACTGGGTCGGGTTTGAATACATTTTGCTGTCGTTCCATCAGAACTTCATTTGGGCACAGTTTTCGTAAAAATTTAGCAAAAAAAAC